ATCTATTTTTAGATGGAGAATTGTTTGATGATGATTTATTCGATAAAGTTTGAAGATTTTTATTTTGAGAAAAATCTTTAATAAAATATTTTTTTTCTTTAATTATTCTTGATGGAGATTCTTCTATTAAATTGATATTATGTTTTGATAATATTGATAAAGATTGTCCGTCATCTGTATCTTTACTTGTTCCTAATCGAGATGAAACAAGAACAAGAACAACATTTTCTTTTGTTTTAATAGGTTCACAATGTGCTCTAGAACGAGTCATTTTTCGAGTTCGTTTACATATATTTATCATAATTAACATATTAAGTATACATAATAATATAAATGGCCAAATAAAATAATTAAATTGTGCAATTAACATATAGACAAATGATTTATGATAATCGCCTGAACAATCATTATCACTTCGACTTTTTTCAACATTTTCTTTATCAAATAAAGAAAATAACCATATACCCGGAGCAAAATTTACTATCAGATTTTTTTCTTTTTTTTATTTATTTATTATTTAATAAATAACTTACTGAATGAAATAAACCAAACAGATCCCATTACTATATAAACGAAATCTAGTCGAGCATATTTTCGATAAGATATAGGATAACCTATTGACCAATAACGATTTATACTTATTCCCACAATATTAATAACACTAGCCATTGTTGCAACATCATCAATAGTTACCTATTTATATATAAATATTATTTATTAATAAATATATTTAATTGTTATACCCAAATTTTACAAAAAAGACGTCCAAATGGCCATGATTGTGTGATACTAAATGAAAATTTGCTAATATATATATATTAAATATATATAATAAAATAAACCTGAATGGAATATAAAATGGAATGCAGAAAAAACCAACAAGAAAATCAGCTATTGCCATATTTAATATAAAATAATCTTTTAAAAAATAAAAATAAAAAATATTTGTAAGAGTATAAAATGTAATTACCATTGATTGTACGTAATTTTTTGTCGAAATAAAAAGCCAAAAGTACAACTATATTTCCAAGAGCTGTTATAAAAGCAATAAGACTCAAACACATGCCAATAATAATAGAAATAATAATTGATGATGAATTCATTGGATTTTTTATTAACATTTTCATTGTTATATTTAATATAACAATTTGTGAAGAATTCATTTCTTATATAATAAGATATATTTATTCAAAAATATAAAAATAATAAATTCTTATTAATAAATAATCAGAAATGATGATATATATATATATAAAAGAAAAAACGTTGATTAATTATAGATTAATATAAGAAATGAATGTTTACTAAATAATAATTATACTCTACAATAAACATCCGTCGTGTTTTTTTTCTAACTAGCAGATATAACAATCAATGTTGTCTGCTAATTTAATCGGTGAGAACAATTATTTGTTTCTGATTTACTTATATTTGGCAGTAGTTCCATTAAACAAGATAACAATTATATTTATGTTATTAATTTAGATTTCTATTCAACTCTTATATACTTTTATCCCTTGCTCCTTTTTAGTTTTTTATTGAAGAGTATTATTCAATCGAATTATTCTTCCTTTTTTTTTTTTGTTTTAATAATATTCGATTTTGTAAAAAAATGAAATCCTTCTCAAATAAAATAAAAAATTTCACTAAATTAACATAAAATGAACAGTTTTATAATATAAATAATAAATCCTATTGTTGATTTTCCTCTGATAAACATTTATTTATATATTTTATTTAAAAAATCTTCATTTATTCTATCGATATATTATTATCTAACCGTTATTATTATAAATTTATTAAAATAATTCGAAGATTTTCAATCAATAAAACAATTTCTAATTTAGTTGAACTTTATTAATAAGAAAAAAAAGCTCGTTCTAGATTTAATTTCTTGTAAAACTTTATAATTTAACATATAGAATAAATAAAATCTACGAATTTAAAATAGTTTTTATTTTATATAAAAATTGAAAATGATATCTGAATATATTTATTTCAAATAAGAGATCAACATCTTCACTCAATTAATAATAACAAAGATTTTTTTTTTCAAACTATTTCTAACTAAGAATAAATTTCTAAATGAGAATAGAATCTATTATAATATCGAATCTTTTACAGATTTTATCTCTCGAACTATTTTTTTTTGTCGAGATTTTAAATTAGAAAAATTTTGTAAGAGTAACTATTATTTAATAATATATCTATATAAACAAGTGAATATGTTTTTAATTGAATATATATTAATCGATATTGATCATGATAAAATGATCAATAGAATTAATTAATTAATTAATTAATTGAAGAGTAAAAAAGAAAAAGGTGAATATTTGTAACTTACAGTAACCAAGATTCGATTGTATAAGTATATATAGATAAGAAATGAAATGGTTTTTCTTTTCTCTCGAGTTAAAATCTCCGTCAAAATCGTCAAATAGAATATGTTTGAGATTTTTATCAATCTATGATGTTAACTTATTGAGAGTTGTCACCCTCTAGAAAATATAATTTATCTTATGAAGATTTTTCCTTCGAGCTTATCTTACTGAAAATTTGCTCGACTGGAATAAATAAGATGATGCCTCTAGTAGTGACTGCACTTTTATTTCTTGTTATCAACCGGAATTCGATCTATATTATAAATATATGTTTACTTCTATAATATATTAATTATTGATTAACTAATCAACTTGTTCGACTTGTTTTTTTTCTTTTATTCTATTGGAAAAAGTTCAAGTTGTTAGCTTACTTTATCTAGAACATAGATCGTTGCTTTATCAACAGAATAGAAAATCTCGAAGAAAAAGAAAAAGAAGCGAACGGTTTTTTTTCTTCTTATTGATGAGCATATGTCATCCATTATATATATATAAGAAGAAAATAATCTATTTAATGACATTGACATTTTTCTTTCATAGAAAATTTTTGTATTTTTAGTGATTAGTCCATTTTAAACATTTTACAAAAAGATTTTAACCATTTTTATTTAATTAAATAAATTTTTATTGATTTAAATCATTTTATAGAAATTTATATTCAATTCAATTTATTAAAACAACGTTTTTTTTCTTTTATATTATCTATTTATGAAATTTGTTTTTTAATATTTCATTTAAATGAAATCTATTCAAATCTATTTGATGTTAAATCTTAATCGAATAAGATAAAATAAAAAAAATTTTCTTTTTTCGAATATTTAACTAAACATTGAAATCAACAATAATAATCGAAATAATATATATATTATATTTCTAATTTGAACATTTTAATCAACTAAAACATTTCAAACGATAAGACTATATATATATATATATATTAGTTTTATCTTTCGAGTATATATTTATTAGAACAATTCATAGAAATAAATAGAGATTGGTCAAATATCTATCGATGAAATAAATTCCAAATTAAAAAGGTTATTACTGCAGTCCTAAAGGGCCTCAAATATCTAAATGACATATATTCTCTGCCTTGATTAAATTAATCAAAAATAGGTTAACTGAAATATCTCTTATAAACTAAAGTTGTTTTAGAGGATAATCGAAGATGCGAGCAAGAAATTTTCTAATTTCGAAGAGAAATTTTTTAGTTTTTCTACTTTTGCTCTATTTTTTGTTGACATTGTGGTTATTGGGTGACTTTTTTTTTTCTTAATTTTAACATTCTTATTAATAATAATCATTGAATTAATTGTAAAATAGATATATTTTATATATCGATTATATCTAGAGAAGATCTTATATAGAATTATATATATATATAAATCAACTGACAAAGAATCATCTTTATTATCTTTAAAAAATATAAGTTGATCAGTTTATCAAAAAAAACTCTAAAAAGTCTGAGGCATGTTGCTCTTGATTGTTAGCGTCTGTAGTGGGGAGTGTCTGTAATGGGTGGATGTCTATAATGTAGGGTTTCATTAGTAAGTGTCTCAAATGGTAGAGGAGGAGTTGACAAAAATTGACCTTGAAAATTGCAGTGACTATTTCTAGAAAAAAAAGTTGGTTCCACAATAAAATGATTATCGAAAGATTGAATTGAAAAGTAGAAAAGATAAATTTGGTAGATGAATAGTCAAAATCTTTTTGTTTTGTTCGATTATAATCGATAAGATGTTGAAGAATTTTGTTTTTATTTTTTGATTAAGTCAGTTGAATCGATCGAGTTGTAGTTAAATATTGAGTTTGATTTATGTTTATTGTAAATTAGTTAATCCTTTTGATAAAACCTTCATAGAAATAAAACTAATAAGATTTTAATAGAAAAAATCTCTGAGAGTAATAATAAATCTGTTGAATAAAACATATTTCATGTCAGATAAAATATCTCTAGATGATTTTAATTGAATATTTATTAAATTGAACTTGTTAAATATTTTCAATAATAAAATAGAATTTTGTTTTGTTTCTAGTCTTCAGTTGTAAGCTTTGTTTTTCTTTCTATATTATATAGAATAAAATATATGAGGGAAATGGTCTGATTCGTTTTTTGTGAAGGATAGTTATTATTTAAGTATAGTTTTATTTTTCCTTGTTTATGGTTATATTCAAGGTCGAGATTTGTCTTATAGATCTTCCTAACGATCATATTGAAATAATATTGAAAGTAAACATCCTGAAAAGACTGATTCGATCTTAATCAATTTAAATAGATTAGACATAAAATAAAATTTCTCTTGAAAGTTTTAAATTTCAATTGAATATCGGCACGTTTTAATAGATTTTGAATCTTTTATTAATCGATTTGACTTGAATTTTGATTAGTTTTCTTTTTTAAATGAATATGATTAGCTTTTTTGTTTCGTCTTATAAATAATCTTGAATAAAAGTGTGTCTCTATTGAGAAAAAAACAATAATGGGTTATATAGGAGTGACCATTCTATAATTAAGATGATTAATTAATTAAATAAATTCTAATTAAAGAATAACATACTGTTAACGTCACATCGACAATAATCAACTATAACAAGTTTAAATAATGTCAATATTTATTTATCAATATCTTATTTATGTGTGAAAGTAAACTGTAGAAAAAAATGTTAATGAATAAAAAAAACTAAATATCGATCTATGTTGAATATATTATCTTTTGACATAATTCGATTCGATGATAGAAATATTATCTATTTACAATTATCATTGATCAAGATAAAAAAAATTGATTTTTATAGGGATTTTCCACTTTTGTTAAAATAATTTCAACATTTGTTAATTACTGAAATTTGTTAAAAAATAATGTTTTCATAAAAAATCGTAGAGATTATTTATCATTGATAGAAGCAAATTTCGATTATACTCAACGAAAATTGAATAAAATTGATTTTCTGTCAATTGGTTAAATAGAAATATTATTTTAAAGAAGAGACTTTTATAATAAATAATGATAATATACTCAATATCAATAAAATAAATCAAATTAATAATAAACTGTTTAAAAGTTAGTTAATATATATATTTATTGAATATATTATCTTTTATTTAAACATATTTATTATGTTTAGATTAATAAAAATCATTTTCTTTTTTTATTGGATTAAAGATCGATATTTAATATAATATTGATTATTAAAAAATTTTAATAAAGTCAATTATTGATTAAAAAACATTGAAATATTTTATTTAACTCAATCGAATCAACTAGTTTTTATAGAAATAAATTTATTTTATTTAATATCATGTTTATCGACACTTATCGATTTACATTGACGATAAACAATTGAATTTTTAATTAGGAAAACAACAAATCTATTAAAACAGTTTTAAACTTCTAAGATTAAATAGAAAAAAAACACGTTCATTTTCATTTAAATAATCAAATCGATGATTAATTCAATTGAACTATTAGTTTTCTGAACATTATCAAAATTTCTAAAAAGACTTAAACATTCAATTTTTTGAATTTTCTTTTGTTTTATTTATATATATGGGGAAAACAAGTGAGAGTTGACTTATCAAATTCTATCTAGTCTCATAAAAGTCTTCTAGATTTTTTCACTTAGATTTACTGCACAGGATATTGAGAAGAAAATCAATTAAATGGTTACCTTTTTCAACATCTCATTTTATCACAAATATTAACTTTTTTTGTTTTGTCAATCTGATGAAAAAGTTTCTAGTCAAACTTTAAAAAAAAACCCATAGATTAATTGTTGAATTCTTTTTAATCAACTTATTTATTTCGATAAGAAGTCTTCTAAAAAATTGATATCAATTTAATAAAGAATTTTTATCTTTTTTGTTTATATCTATCGATGGTCAAAGTCTATCAGACGATAAACGACTAGTTTTATCGATCAACAACCAACAATCCGTTTGATTATCTAAATATTTAGATGCCTTATTTATTTGTATCTGAATAAAAATCTTCTTCAATTATGAATTAATAGAATAAAATATTCTCTCTATCATTAATGTCTATCTTATTCATTTTAATTTCATCAACATTTTCTATGATTGTCACATATTGATTTTGTTCATTCAAATTTAAACAAATCATTATTAAATTGATCACTTTTCATTGTTTCATCATCATAATCAGATTGACAAATTGATCATGAATCGGAATCATCTGTAGAATAATCATCTCAATTAATGCTCAATCTAACAGTGTCAAATATATATAGATTTAAATTATGGAGTTAAAAAGCATTCGATTTCTTCAACGAAGTTAATATGTTAAAATAACTAATTAACTCTTTTACATGATTAAATGTAATTATTAAGTTTTATTTCAAATGAGTATGATTAGTTCGATTTGAAACAGATCTTGAAATTATCAATAATGATTATCAATATGTTTTATACTGATCATCAATTCAAATTCAATTTAGTCTCATCATGACGAAAAGGAACAAATACGTTGATAATTTAACAATTTTCAAATAAAAATTTTAGTTGAATTTTCTGCTATTATTCAGTTAATACAATATATATTTAAGGTTGACCAAAACTTGTCGGATAAGATAACTTACTGAGAAATGAAAAATCAAATATACTATCTTCTAGAGCTTTTTGAGAAAATTATGTTTTTATAAGATTTTAAACAAATTAGAGTTAATTTACTGATAGACAACTACACACTCACAAGACGATCGGAGATAGGACGTATATGAGGTTGTAGACTGTCAAAAGTTCTACAAAATCATATATGAGAAAAATTATTTTAGAAACATTTTCGAATAATACCAACCACCACAAACATTCAGTAACCTATCATGTTTGAGTGTAAGTGTAGTCGTTTATCAGTAAATTAACTCTAATTTCTTTACAGTCTTATGAAAAGAGAATTTCCTATATACAATTCGACACACCTCAAAAAGCTCTACGACATCGGATATTTGCTTTTTGATTTTTGAATAGGTTACCTTATCTGACAAAGTCCTTTAAACATCGGTCTCATAGAAATAATGGTCAATCCAATGTATATATATACCCTTATATAGAATTATGAGAGAAAATTCTTTTATCATCTTCATCTAATAGATAGTACGTTTTTCATGATACAGAAATTCGATGGCATCTCTAAGGCTTCTAGAACAGTCATGTAGTCTTCGACTCTCTTGAAGTCTCATGAAATCTTTTGAAGTTTTTTCAAGTCTTTCAAAGTCTTTTGAAAATTTGAAGCCTCTATTATCAAAATCCGCTGTTTTTCTCTTGATTTAAAGGTAGATGAAACGAGGATCTTAGCAAGACAATAACAAGATCAGTCAGAATCCTAAACTGAGAAACCCGGATAAGGTTTGATTAGGATTCTGCTCTAATTCTTATGCATATTTGTTATGAAGTTTTTTTTTGTAACTTTTCAAGAAAAAGCGTTTCGAATTCTTGCAAGGCAATACCAATTCTAATTAGGATCTTTATAGGAAACACATAAGGAGTTAGTGAGGATCTTTTCAGCTAGTGTTTATACTACCGAGCTTTGTTCATTTGTCGAGAAAACGTTGAAGGCTCTTTCACGATCATAAATCTAAAGAATCGCGTCGAGTTTTATTTCGGATCTTTTTTGGAATTTCTTTGGGCTCCGACTGAGATTTTTTCTAAATTAAGAACATCGAATCCTATCGGAATTCATTCTCAATCGAACGCAGAATCCTTGCAGGAACAGAAGATATGAGACTGCCAAGATTTGATTGAGTTTTAATCAAAAAGGATTCTTCAGGTTGATATGAGTATCCAGTGGAGAATTGTAGTTACATCAGATGAGAATCTTAACAAGAATAACACAAGATTAATCACAATTCTAAATGAATAAATCCTGTTAAGTGTCGATCAATATTTATTAATGATTTTATTCAAAATCCTGACACAGATGGATGTGAAGTTTTCCTGAAGGTTGCAGCTGATTTTTTTTCAGAATCTTTTCAAGATTTGTAAATGTATAGATGACAATACAAATTCTAATACCAATGTTGAGTAAAAATCTCAACAGTAAAAAAATGTAAGAATTTTTCAAACTCTTATTGTTTCGTTCCGAATGTGACAGAATTGAGAAGTCTACCAGGATTTTATCCTGATCTGGGTTAGATCTTTGATAAACAAAGGAAGCTTCTGGCAAAATTTTCGAATATTCTGTTATCGATCTATTAAAGATTAGTATTGAAATCAATTAGAGACTTCGACCAATAAAATCAGTTATTTTTGTGAGTTTTATCTTGAAAGAGAATTTGAAAAATGATTAATTATGTTATACATTTCAGTTTAGTTCTTTCGCTAATTATTCATATAACATAGCTAATTTTTTTTTTGTAAGAGATAAATCGTTTGATCAAACCTGTTGATATCTTCTATAATGTGTAGAAAATAATTCAAAATAGATGTTTTAAATCAAATTGAAATAAACAAAAACTAATAGAATTCGTAACACTAAAAACAATATTAAAAATGGTATTGAATTTTGAAATTTTTTCGATTTACTATGAAAACGCCGAAAGAAAAAACGTTGAACGAAAAAATCGAAAAAAACCGTCGATCATGTAATATGTCGGAACTTTTCAGATGTCGTTATTGACCAATATTGATTTTCTTTCCTATTATATTTCTCGTGTTTTCTTTTGTATTTTCTTTTATAGTTTCGTTGATTAGCTAATACTTTTCCTTCAATAAGTCATTGCATGAGTGAACATTCTAGAATATCGAATAGACACAGAATACAAAGAAAAATCGAGATATTGTCTTATGACCGTATATATATTTCGCTCGCCTTTAGACATTCTAATATATTTTTCTTCATTTTTATGTACAAATTCTACGGTTGTGTAATGTCCAACAATACAAGTTCCATATCGTTTATTTATTCCAACAAAGATGGTCCTCAATTGATTCACGATGGTTTCGTATTCAAATTGAATAAAAGGACATCAACAAAAATTTATTGGAAATGCATAGTGAAAAACTGCACGGCGCATATTCATATAGATACCAACAACAATTCGTTAAATGCAACTGGTGAGCATAATCATTTGCTTGAACCAGACAATGTGAAAGTGAAACGATTTCGAACGATTCTCAAGGAACGTGTGGTAAATGAAACAGTACCAATACAAAAAAATCTATGATGAAGAAATTGTCAAAGCAAATTTTTCACCAGAAATTCTTGCATCTGCTACAGAAATGGACAAAATCGCACCGCCCCTTCCCGCGCTTCCCCGCGCCGCTGCTCATGCCTAGGCGCTAGCCACATCTCTCTTTCTCTTTGCTCTACCAATCAGTTTCTCAAACTCCACCGAATACCGGGATGTTCTAAGCATGCGCTCATCGAAGCTCAGACTAGTGTAGCGTAGGTGTGAGCAGCGGCGCGGGGAGGCGCGGTGCGATTTTGTCCATCTCTGATCTGTTACACTCGCTCACCAAATACGTATGACTATGATCGCTCAATTTTTGAATATATCTTTTTATTCTTTTTTCTTTAGTATCAGGATTGAATCAGGCACGAAGAAAATTAACGCCAACATTACCTCCATCAAATTCATTCGATATTTCTGATGGATATCAAACCACAGCCTCTGGTGAAACTTTCTTGATTTGCGATAAATTGGTTTCTCGAAAGAAAAAATGTTGATTTTTGGTAGTCCAAAACAATTACAATTATTATTCAATAGTTCTATTATTTTTCTTAATGGAACGTTCTAAATAACGCCATCGTTTTTCGATCAGGTTTTTACGATTCATGGTTTGAAATTTGATTGTGGTACGATACACATCCTGTTTCATAAACAATCAATTGTATTTCCTGTCTTTCAGCTTTTCCATGTGTATTTGGCCCTATTACCTGATCGAAAAAAAATCGACATGTCAACAATTATTTCCAGAATAAAATGCTGTTGCTGTATCTATGGGTCGAACATGGAAGCCTGAACAGATTATGGCTGATTTTGAAACCAGCTTGATTCCAGCAGTATCTGCCGAAGCAAAAACTATCAATCACTTTATATGACATATCTGTTTTTCGTTTTAGCATCCAGAAAGTGCTCACAAAGGATGCCATTTTCATTTTAATCAGTGCATATATCGACGTATCCAGTTACTTGGTTTAGCCACAGCTTATTCACAAGTTGAATTAGTTCGAAGTTGTTGCCGTAAACTGATGGCATTACCACTTTTACCAACTCAAGAAGTTGAAACTTCTTTTTATAATTTACGTGCACCAGCACATCCAACAGTGAAGAAACAACTTCGCGATTTATTTTTATATTTTGATGATTATTGAATTAATAATATACCAATTGAAATGTGGAATGTTCATGATTACCAACATTGAACTAATAATATATGTAAAGATATATACAGCCCTTCTTTTACAACATTAGATGAAAATGTCTATATTTAGGATTTCACAACCGATTAAATCGACGAATGGAACGAGCACATGCAAATATATCGTCATTCATCAGATGTATTGTTAATGAAGAAAGCCGATTTCAACACATATACATGCAAATGAGTACAGGTGCTAAACGTCGACCAATTTCAAGTTCTACTAATGGTATTCAAAAGCGTATTGATACTCTTATGGCACATTACAACAACAACGACATCGGCGCTGTGCAACTGTTAGATAACTTATCATTGCTCATCGCGAGAAAAACATAAACTTTATATTAATCACGCACATCTGGACCTATCGAACGATGCATTTTTTTATAGCTATTTGTCATTATCAATAAACGCATTTTTCCTTTTTTTTCAATCAAATAAAATAAACATTTTATATTTTTCATCTAACATCATTTTTCATTGATTCGACAGTTTTATTCATCCGATCTTTTTTTCTTTAGACATTTATTTTTTCGACTTTTTTTCCTTCGACATTTTTTCTTTCGGCATTTTCAATACATACCTGTTTTTCACATATTTTTTGTTCGCATACAATTCAACTAACAATTAACAATTTGATGGAGTGAAGATCTAGAGATTGATAATCTATACATTCATTTCTCTTCACTTCTCTTTAGAACACTCTGCAAAGATCCTCTCAAGAAATCAGATAACAATTTTAGACTATCCTTGAGAAATCCTACAATAATGCGATTAAAAAAAATATTTCAATGAGGAATCATTGCAGTTGATCTGGCAGGATTCACGGTGGCGGATCCAAGAAATTTTGAAGCAGGTGGCGGATGGAAACAAATTATTAACCTTATTTTTTATAATTTCTCTAACACCTTTTATTATCAACTGTTCAAATTTACATCATGCATTCAATACTGTTATGTGTGGCAACAAAAAACTGTTGAAAAATAACAACTATTACATTGGCATATAAGTTCTGAGAGGCTTTTTTGTGCTGTAAATAAGTTTGAGATTTTATATCTCGTGATTGGAAAGTGATAGAGGTCTGAAATTTTTAATGCAGATAAATCTCTATGACTTCCATCTACACTAAAAATTTCAGACCTCTATCACTTTCCAATCACGAGATATAAAGTCTCAAACTTGCTTACAGTACGAAAAAACCTCTCAGAACTTATGTGCCAATGTATTACTAAGAAGCAAGTTCTATAAGAAACTCTAGCTTTCTGTTCTTTTGTTTTGAGAACGTGTCGATGCCTTGTTCAACATCAATGTTAATCATGAAATGCATGCACATACATCATTGCTAGTCCATTCAAACAACTTTTACTCATGATACTTTGCACATAAATTTCAAAGGAGGTGGAGAGTGCCACTCCTGCCGCCTCTCTCGATTCATCACTGCAGGATTCTGATATAAAATCAATGAAAAGCTGTTCAGAATTTTCCTAAGATCTTGTTCGAAATCCTGTCAAAATCTTTGTTACATCGTGGCTACATATTTCTTTCGAGATTTACACTTTCCTCAAAATATTTCCGATTTTAAATTTCGTAGCAAACTGCTCAGCATCTTGAAATTCCATGGCTGCATGCTGCTTTCGGGATTTATCGGTTTAGAGAACGAATCCTGTTTGAAATACAGTTAGGATTTTCAAATTCCATTGGCTATGCGCTTTCTTCAGAACTCAGGCATTTCTTCAAGGAAAACCAGTAAATATTTCGAGAGTCTTTGTTGTATCTTTCAAGAGTCCAGTGCGGAAACAACAAAGATTTTCTCTAAACGTAGAAACTTAAATTTTTCATTCGACTTTTTTGTAATGCTATCGTCTATTTAGCTAATTTAACTGTAAATCATCGCATATAATTCGAAGTTTTCTATGTGAATCTAACATTTGTAGATGCTTGTTCAGATCAGCAACACCACGACACTCACACACTTTTGAAGTCTTTGCTAATGAGACGAATTAGTATATAAGGTAAGGTCAAACTGTAGAAGAATGCATTTGTATTGATCTTCGGAGAAATAATGTCGATTTATATGAATAATCAATTCGAAAGTAATTATGTAGATGATAATGAAAATCGAGGAAAAGCTCGTTTTAAAGATCGGTTCTCATAAATAAAACAAGTAAAGTGATATGATTCTTTCTCTTATATTTCTGTTGATCAATAGATGTCATCAATCTCCAGTCAGATAAACAACAATGGACGTCATCTGTAAAAAGATTTGAAAAGATTTTCTTTTTGTTTTTCTTTTTATGAAAAAAAACTGATGTTATTAAAATAAAATGAATTATATATTTGTTTTCACAATCCGAAAGAAAAGTTTCGAAATAGTAAAAATGACTCATTGTTGTCTTTAGAAAGATTGATCGATTTATTTACTATATTTATTTGATTGTTTTTAAGATAAAGTCGTAAAAAAAGAGGAATAATGTGGCCTGAAGTTGAACAAGCATCATTAAATCATCGTTATGAATTAGTTTTATCTGGTGATAAAATAAATAAACGTTTAGAAGAAAAGAATGAATTAGATCCAACAATCTGGAGATTAACTCGATTGAATTTTCTTGAAATAAGTCAATGTCCAATTATTGAATCATTATCCGAAGATATTGGAAAATTAATTAATTTATCAACATTAACATTAACATCAAATAAACTTCGTTGTTTACCCGATCAAATGAAAAATCTTGAAAATCTTCGTCATTTAGATTTATCAAATAATCAATTAAATCAACTTAATAAAGATTTATTTTTAAAATTAAATCATTTGGAAACATTAAATTTAAGTAATAATTTATTGGAAGATCTTCCACCATTTTCACCGGAAAATAATAAAAAATTAGCTATTATTAATTTATCTAATAATCAACTTCAAACACTTCCTGATTTTCCACAACAATTAGAAAATCTTTCACAAATTGATTTATCATCAAATCAATTTGAACATTTTCCAGATACACTTTTACAATTAAATTCATTAAAAATTATTATTATGGATTCAAATCAATTGACAAATATTCCAAGTCAATTAAGTCAATTACATAGATTAAAAGGTTTTTTTTTGCTTTTTTTTTTGTTTCTCTCTTAAATTATATTCTTTTTCTAGAAATTCGGTTTAAATCAAATCCATTAAAAGATAATCGATTAAAAAAATTAATGGAACAAGATAAAATAAAAGCTGTTTTGGAATATTTAGCTAAACAATGGAATGAACAACAAAAATCAATATCGACAACATCAAAATCTTTTCCACAAAAACAACAAGAACAACTTAAACTAAATGAAGATATTCAAGATAAAATTGAAATATTACATTTTGATCAACCAGGCGATTTAAAAGGAAGACAAAGTTTGTTTGCATCGTCTCTTTTATTTTCGCATTTTTATTTTATTTTATTTCAGTTACACTATTGCCTCGAGTTATCAATGTTCGACCTCATATATTATGTTGTATTGTTCGAAATATTGATTTAGCAACACCAGGAAATTTAAAGAAATTTTTAAATATTCAAGTAAATTAAATATCATTCAAAAATAAGACATAGATTAGAATCATTACTATTTCGAGTATATTTTATCTATATTTATTTATATAAAATGTATTTTAACAAAAAGAAAAATCATTGATAAATAAGAAGATATTGATCTATTGAATAATAATATAATCTTGATTTTTTTAGGAAATATTGATGTAAAGATAGATCCATATCGAATATATCAAATTAGATAGAATTCTATCAGTTGTTCAAGTAGTATTATCGTTTTGAGATTATTTTCAATGATTTTCACATAATATATATTCATATTTATTTATTCGTTGTCATTATTTCAATATAACTATTCAATGTTGCACATGCATTGATAAAAAAAGGTTCTACTTTTCTCCTATTTAAACTTATTTTATTTATTCGAGTTTGTTTTTGTTTCTGATAGAATCATCTTAGTAATAGATATTGTTTTATTCTATTCAAATAATAATATTGATTTAATAAATCTCTTCATTTATTTATTTCAAAATAAGACTTCCTATATAAATAAATATACTCGAAATAGTTCAACTATCGAACAATGATGAAAAACTATTGATAATTATAGATAAGTGAATATCTATAGTTATTCCATTAGATTTTACTCCTTTGGATTTTTTAGGTAAACTTTCTCGATTAGTTTTTATTTTCAAATTCGACACTTTTTTTCTAAGATTGAACAAATCTCTATGATATATCTCTCTGACCAAAATAAACCGAACATCATATTTTTTTGGATTATTTCGTCCCATTATCGTTCTTCCACCTCATGTTTATATCATCGATACATCCTCGATTGATTAACTTATTCTGAAAGCTTCAGTCCTATAGAGTGAGAATTGGCAAAGAAAACAAAAAATATGTCTTATCTGATTATATATAACTGAAACCAATTTTTTTTTGTTTTTTCTATTATTTTCGATTCCATTCGGAATATCGAATAGTAGTTAGGTACCCCTAAGACATGACTATGGAATGAGAGATTTTAAAATGTCTCATTGCACAGTTATGTCTTAGAGGTACCTAACTACCATCCGATATTTCAAATGAAATAGAAAATAATAGAAAAAACAAAAAAATTAGTTTCAGTCATATATAACCAGATGAGATATATTCGTTGTTTTCTTTGCCAATTCTCACTCTATAGGGCTGAAACTTTCAAAATAAGTTAATCAATCGAGGATGTATCTATGATATAAACATGAGATGGAACAACGATAATGGAAATAAATAATCGAAAAAATATGATGTTCAATTTATTTTGGGCAGGGAGATATATTCTATTCGAGTATTGAATTGATCGAACATTAAACAGTTTTATGATAATCTCTGACTTCTGTTTCTGATTATTTTTTTATAATAAATCTAAATATAAAATATGTTTGTTTAGAACGAACTTCATGATGGAATTTGTCAAAAACGAACATTAGCAACAATTGGTACACATGATTTATCACTTATATCAGGAAATTTAGTTTATGATGCTCGTAATCCTGATGAAATAGGTCTTATACCACTTGGTAAAGGTCCAAAATTAGTATCGGCAAGAGATTTTTATGATCAATTATGTCGAGATGCTGAACATGAAAGAAAATTAAAAAAACGAAATCAACTTTCAGGACTTCATAAGTTAGTTAAAACATTTTTATATATTTAAACAAAAATTTTGTTTTAAAAAATCTTTTTAAAAGATATTTAACATTATTACAAGATCAACATGATTTTCCTTGTTTATCTGATCAAGATCGATATGTTATTTCACTTCCACCATTAACAAATGCTGAACGAACTAAAGTAAATATTGATATTTTTCATTTTATTTTAAAATAAAAGTTTTATTTAATAATCATATCAATTATATTAATTAGAAATCAATTCGGATCAATTCTATTAGTTGAGTCTGTTCAGCTCGATGATTAGAGAAACGGTGAGAAAATAAATAGACACATTGACAAACCATTGATTCAATCAGTCTAATACTGAAAAGACATGGATATTAGAGGAAAGAAAATCTTTATTATATATAATAGATAAAGTTGAATAGAATGATTAAACTGATAGGTCGATATTTAATTTTTTTTTTTTGAAATAAATAAATAAAAATGAATATTACTTTTAGTTAAGTCCATCAAGTGAATCAATATTAATTGAAATAACATCAAGTCATTCAATGGATATATGTCGTCGTGTTATGGATTGTCTTTTACGTGAAATGATTGAAAATGAATTAGGAAAAAAATCAAATGAATCAAATATTCGACAAATATTAAAATTACAACAAACGAGAGTTGTTGATGATAAAGGACAATTAAAAATAACATATCCATCTCGTACTGATCTTCATTGGGAAAATTTATCTAAACCTTCTATTATTATTCAAAGATTAACTATTGAGAAATAAAATATCTATTTGGATTTTTTTTTCATTTTCGTTTTTGTTTTTGTTTTAGATTTGTAAAAATGAAATAAATCGATTTGAATGAATTCTCGTCGATTAAATAATTCAATGTCAAACAACGAATATCGTATTGATTTAAATCCTGAAAATAATATTGAAGATATTGAAACAATTCAAGAAGATATTATTAATCAAGTTCAACAAACAACAAGAACAAATCTAACAACAAATAATATAAATAATGATCATTTACATCAATTAATTCATTTATTAAAAGATAATTTAACATCAACATTTCCTTTTGCTCTTATTATTATTCTTAAAGCTTTTTATGAACATTCAGCAGGTATTTATCATAATCAACTTTTTATTCTTTGAAAATTTATATCAAAAATAAGAAAATCTATCATAGAATTTTTTTTTTCAAGTCAAATTTAAAAATTAACTCGGAAGAAAAACCTGTTAGATAAAATTAGTATTTGTTTTTAATTCAAGTTAAATTGTTTATTATATTTAATATATATATTAACGATTATATAAAATATTTCTCATCTTAAAATCAGTAATTTATCGATATATATTTATTATTGTTTATAATAAGATTTTCATTGATCTATTCATTATTTAATTAACTTTAGAAAAGTAAAGTATTCGTTTTATCAACAAAATAAATTAGATTTAATAAATCAGTTTGTAGAAGATCTTCTCTCACGATAATATTATTTATTATATTCAATATTCAATCAAAGAATATTGTTTAATAAGTTTAAAAAATCTTCTCAAATAGAATATATCGAAACTAGTTAAATAAATAACTGTTAAGAGTAGAGTTTAACAGATCTTATCAGAGAGGTTCGCCGGTTAAAAAGAGTTCGGGAGATATAAGAAAAAAGATGAGTGTGGTTAAGAGAATAAAAAATGGTTGATTTGCTCCCCTTTGAGAATGATATTGTGTATATCTCTTAAATGATTCATATTAATAAAGTAAATATGTTAATCGAATGTTTTAGAAGTTGAAATCGAATATTTTTTGTCAATATTCTATTTAATTTAGTGAACATATTTGAAAAATCTCTTAATTAAATATATTATCTATGATTATTATTCTAACAAATATTTCTATTCTTTTGTAATAAATTCAGTCATTCTTTTCATTTTTTTTTAAATTTTATATTAAAAAAATAGAAAAATAAAATAGATATTTGAAAAAAATTCGTTATGTAATTTTGTTGAAGAATATTTCTAATAGAAAAAAAAGTGTTAATTATTCTATAGTTAATAGGATAAATCGAATAATCTCTCCTTATTAAAACAAATTATCGTCAAAATTGAAGTTGAAACTGTTAATTCTATTATAGTAAATAATAAAAAATATTTCTATTAATAAAAAGGTATATTGATGGTTATATTCTTTTCTGGAAGTATTTATCATGCAAATACAGTTTTGGTTAATCAAGCAGGTTTAAAAGTAAATATTTATTTATTTATTTATTTAAATGTTAATTTGTTTAATAAATAATTATTATTTGTTAGTCATCTCGTCATTTGTGTCCAGTTATTCGAGTTATTATTATTCTAACAATTTCATTAATTTTATTTCTTTATTTATTTCGAGAAGATAAATTTTATTTATGTTTAATATTTGCTCGTCCATCTTATACAAATTGGAATTTTTGGACTCTTCTTTGGGTAGTTTATTCAACATTTTGTATAGTTAAGTATGTTTATTAAATAAATTTTTTTTTTCTTTTTTAATAAATTATGTTTTAGGATGATAGTTATGATATTAAAAGGTTTATTAATTCTATATCCATTAAGTAGTGAAAAAGGAAAACTGAGTTTAACATATCGTAAACGTGGATCATATTTTTCTCTATTAGAATATATATCTCAATTTTATATTAGTTTATTAACAATTCGTCCATGGATACATTTTATAATGGATAATAATCAAGGAAATATATTATTCTCATCATTTATTCTTTTTTTTTATTCAACTGTTAAATTTTATAATTTTTATAAATCATTTATTAAATTACGTCAATCATTAAATCAATCATTTCAAACACTTCCTTTTCCATCAGTAGCAATTAATGAATTAAGAGATAATCATTGTCCTATTTGTCAATCAGAATATCAAGATCCAATTATGTTAACATGCAAAGTAATAAAAAATTTTGTTTTTTTATTTTTATTTATTTAAATAAAAAAAGAAAATTTTTTTTTTGTTTTGATAAATTTAGCATATTTTTTGTGAGGAATGTGTATCATCATGGCTTGATCGAAATGCAACATGTCCATTATGTCGATGTAAATTACCAATAGGAGAATCGAATTTTCGAGATGGATTTACTTCTGGATATCTTATTTGGTACTAATATAATATATTAGTTATCCATTTATTTTCATTTATATTTATTATCGATTTATTTCAGTTCGATTTAATGGAAAAATTTTTTATTTTCCATATATTGACTTATCTTTAGATTTTATTCAACAAATAATAAATATCTTTTTTCCGTTTTTTTTATAGTCGAATTATTTTCAAATAAAATAATATCTGTTAATAAATTTTCAATAATATATTTATTATAGATTCGATTTCTATTTATCATTGAAAAGGAGAAATTCTTATAAGTAATAAAGAGAATATATCGAAAGTTGTCTTCATAAAAAAAAAAGTCAGTCAGTTAACGTGAATAGATGCTAAATAATTATCGAAATGAATAAACTCTTCAATAAATAAATCAACTAATGATTTTTATTTCAAAATTAATCTATTCAATTGAAACAAATTATAAGAATAAGTTTATTGAAATCAGTTTTGTTAATCGATTGATAATAATCAAATATAGAAATAAGATATGAAAACAATAATAGAAGAGATTCCTTTGATTGAACTAGTTATTTTATTTAAACAAGTATACAAATTTCTATCGTAATTTACATATTAATTTCAATCTAAACGTTAAATAGAATAAACGATGGATCGATGAATAATTACTTTTGAAATAAATATTTATTTTATTTCAATCTATAATTAAATAAAAATAAAAAAAATTCTCTCTATGATAAAATCTAGTTCTATATGTTAAGATAAAACGAATAAAATTGATCATATCGAGGTTGACTAGTAATCTGATTTCGATGGAATCTAGAATTTTTCTAACGAACCGATCTCTTTTACAATTCTTCTGGTGATTTCAACTGATTTTTCTATCAAAAATAAGTAGAAGTCACAGAAAAAATTCTACAAGTTTGATATTTCTTTAGTCAAATGCAAGCAGAATCGATGTCAAATATATTTATCGTATTGTTAATAGTATATGAAATTAGCTAACTGGAAAATGCGAAGATTTTCTCATGAAAATAATTCGATAATATTTTCATATGTTGGTTAGATTTATAATTTCTATAGATAATCAATGCAAGAAAACTAAGACTGACTTGTCGACTATTGAAACATTTATTTCATAGAACTAACAACGTTTTTTTTTATAAAAAAAAGTAAAAGAAAAATTTAAGATTTCTCTCGAACAATGTCCTATGATTGAGAAATGATTTGACTTTCTCATTATTATTTCAGTCAGATCATAATCGGTTATTTAATTTGGTTATCGATAATATGATTAAGGCCTCGCCCCTCCCTCAAAAATCAATTTTCCCATCAATCCAAGTCAAGCGAGCTGAAATTTTCAGGATATGTTAGGACTATAATGAGCAGACTATGGTAAAATTTGCAGCTCGATACCATGATATTTGACAGAGATATGAACCAAGCAAGGGTCGAAAAATAGTTCATTTTCTGTCCAAGATTTCTTGGGCCAGGCTCATGCTACATGTTTTAATTTTTTTTTTATTAGAATGAGCATGTCAAGTTACAGGGCATTACAGAGCCCTTTTTTTTTAAATTCTTACTTTTTTAGCGAAGAAAAGGAATTACAAGTTCAATGACTCAAAAAAATGGGTGACTAGTTACATAAATGTCTGTATATATAATAAAAATAAAGCTTAATTTAAAAAAAAGGACTCTGTGGTGCCCTGCATCTGGACATGCTCTTTGAAACAAAAAAAAATTTTTAAAGTGTTGAAAGAGTCTAGACCGAGAAATTTTGGACAGAAGATCAAAAAATCATAAATCGAGAAAAAACGAAAAAGATTTTTTGGTTTTTCAAAAAATTGCTGGTTTTTCGAAAAGAGGTTTTCAGAAATCTTGAAAATTTTGGGGAAAAAGTGAGGTATCGAAGAAAAACTATTATCGTTTACCAAAAAGCAAATGATGGGCTATCTTCCCATACATTTATCTCAATTTCGAAAATTCTGACGGAAATTGACATTTTTTGAGGGAGGGGGAGCCCTTAAATCTTGACCAAAAAATTTTAAATTCGAAATAAATATTGAAAATAACTCATTTTTATAGAAATGATTAAATAGGCTTTTTTTAATAGTTCAACAAAATGAAGTCGATAGGAAAGGACGATAAAAATGTTTAACCAGTATGTTGGTTTTTGATATTGTTCTAGATGTAAAATGTTTTCATTATCAAATAAAATGATCGAGTGAAGGAAAAATTCGTAAACGATATTTTTCTTGATAAGAGAAGGAAGAGTAAGATTGTTTTGACGTTAACATTCGTTCATTTTCGATCTGATCACAATCGCAGATATTTATTTAATAATTTCAAAAAAAAAACGAATCAATGAGTAGAAAGGACGGGGCGCATAACAAGCCAAATCGGCTCACTGCCAAATTTCATTTAAAGAGTAGTCAGATCTAGGTAAAAAAGTGTGCTGAATCGTTTAAAGACAATTCTAAGTGAAATAGATTGATTCTTTCAGCGCAATAGATCACTAAATGACTCTCATAAAACAACTGCTATATCAAGGTCTCGCCAATAGATAACAAAATGACCATAATTGCTATCTTCAAATAGATTCATCACCTCCCATCGATATCATTAGAAAGAGGACTTTAAATTACTCATGTTCCCGTATGCGTACTAAAAATATCACTGACAAACGAAATTTTTCACGAGACCATAAACGGTCTATAATCGATAAAAACTAATGCTCATCCATCTTCTGACAAATCGTATTCTCTTATTCTGTGTTTGAAACACTTTTGTTCACATACCAATCGATAGAGCTTGAAAATTTCTACAAAATGAGAGCGTGTATGAGAAACAGAAAGTAGGTTAAGGATTCGGACAATTTTAACAAATGTACATATGGGGATTAGTGTTTTCCCTAGAACCGAGAATGCATTGAGCAAAATTTCATTTTTGTATTGTTGTTATCAGAAATGTAAAGAAGGATTGTCGATTTTTAAGGATAATTTTGCAATGTAATGCAACCATTCTGTAAAATAACTAGTACAATGATCAGTATTATTCCTGTTTTTGAGGGAGTGGTTGAATGAAAGATTATTTTGTATGGATATAGCTCACTAGTAATCCATCCCCCTGTCGATGAATGTGCGAATTTTGGAGAATAGGAAAAAATGTGTACTTCTTGCGTTCTAGCAATATTACATCACGTGTGTGTTATGATTGTTTATACATCATTTTAAAAGAATAATGATAAGAGCGAGAGCGATTAAAGATTTCATTCGCTATATTGTTTCGATTATATCGACAATGCTTCACTTGTACTGTGTTTCGTGTAAAGCACAACTGGACAATTATCGACATTATTCTATCAATAGTCCTTTGCTAAAATTATATATATGTACTCGTTTGGGTGTGTTAATTTTGGAAGAAGATCGCATTTGTTCGACGTGTCGCTCGGCCTTTGATTATTGAAGGATAAAATTCAGTAGTGGCATCAATGGTTTTATTGTCAAGAGCAATGAAGGGAATGAAGTCAGTCTTTTGTTATTTTTTTCTATTTTTGGATTTTTTGAATTTGCAGGTAATGATAGAGGTGAACGGTAATATCGGTTTTAATTCTTCGGCTGAAGTCCAAACAGAGCCGATTTGTGGTACGATTGATCTTTACATTCAACGAACGTTAAATTTGCATAGGTAATTGTTTTCATAGCTTTAATTGTGATGCATATATATATATATGATTTGCTACTAGATCGTGTGCTGTGTGTGTCATTAAAGATGTATCGCCACTGGAAGTATTATCAGATAGTCAACGAACAATGATTTTCATTAGACGAGACATTTTAATATCAGCAGGGACTCGTTGTTGTTCTGATCATTTACATAAAGGACAGCTTTCTTAATGGCTCTATTTCTGATCGCCTTGTTCTTAACTCTAACGAACTTCAAGGTCTCATCGAGGATTTTCGTTCAAATATTCAAACTTCAAAAGGTTTTGATTTTGATGATTCAACGTGTCTTTCGGATGAATGTTATTTCAATAGTTACTGGTTTAAAAAAAGGTACCCGCTTTAATTAGTTTTATACTTTCCGTTTGCCGTGATCTATAAAAATGGACATACTGATTTCAAAGAAAAATTGCAATAAAAAGTAGTTTTTTCAATTAGCCGGGTAGCTTACGTAAATAATTTCTTTCGTGTTTCTAACTGATGAAATTTCCAGTGTTGTGCAGGAATATAAATATTTGTCTGATTAATATGTTTATCTCTTTGAAAATGGAAAACTTCGAAATACTTTTCGCTCTTAGAATTACTACATTAGTTCCCTTTGCATATTTTGCCATCTACAAATATGTTTAAATTGATCATACACAAGAGGAGTGCAAATTATCTGAGAAAAAATTCCATACTCAACTGATAGGCATAAAGAACACGTAAAATATGCCTGCATATATTTGATGGTGTTTAGAGATCCGTATTTTTAAACTCTTTGCCTATATTTAGCCGGCTTCGAAGACCTTCTTCAACATCTACAACCAATACGGCACTCTCGTATACGATCTACGAGAGTGGCAGTAGACACATTCTTGATCAAAATGCATTTGGGTCTAAGCAACAAAGTTTTAGCATCGATGTTTCACTTGGAAGATAAATGTTCGATTTCTCGTGTGATTCATCGTATGCGAAAAGCAATGATGACTAACTTTGTACAAAAATACATCGGTTTTCATCATATAAACCGCCAAACTGTTATTGATCATCACACGACTATTATTGCGAAAGAACTACTCCTGAATACATCAAACTGATCAGCTATTGTTATTGATAGTACATATTTAGCCGTGCAAAAGTCAACTAACAATGAATTTCAATGACGTTCTTATTCACTACATAAACATCATAATCTCGTAAAGTTGAATCGTGAATCTAATTTATTTTTCAGTAAATATAATAAATTTTGAATCGTGTTAATTATAGCCAATGATCATTACCAGTACTAATGGTTATATTCTAAGTGTTTTTGGTTCCTTCCTTACTGATGCGATAAATAATGATGCATCCATCATCAAACATTATCTATTTGAAAACAAGGAAGGAATACTGAACTGGTTACTTGATGATGATGTAATGATACTTGACAGAAGATTTCGTGATGCCATCAGCTCCATGAAGATGATCGGTTTTCAACTTACAATGCCAGATTTCCTAACCGGAGGAGAGAAACAATTTGATGCTGCCCAAGCAAATTGTACCCGCTGCATTACGAAAGTAAGATGGGTAGTTGAAAGTGGTAAGAATCTGTTATTTCTGCGTGTGATTGCTATGAATACTGTTTTTTGTAATACTAGTTAATGGAAAAATCAAACAATGACAATTTTTAGCTCAAACAATTCAGTTATCTAACATAAAGTTTCTTTCAGATTATGTCAATATTGTGTATGTACTAAGTAAGTTATATCTTTAAATATCACGAACCTAATAATATTTTTCTTAGTAAACAAATATTGATCTCCATCTGTGAAAGATGTTTCGATAGCAAAAGAGATAGCGACAGAAATGCTGAAGCTACTGCACTCCGACAATGTCTTGCAACAGTACCTTATAGATCTTGAACATAATAAACGTATTAGCTAGAAAAAGTACGAAGCTCAACACTGTTTATTTCCTACACTAACCGAATAAGGCGTTCATAATATTACTTTTGGTAAGCAGACATTGTTCTTACTACATGATAAATTTTCTTTTTTCAAGGAGTGTTTCAGGTGAAGACCGCAAAAAGTTATATAATGGAACATGTAAAAGAATCAATTTTGGACAATGACGAACTCATATTTGAAGTACTATGTGACAATCGTTGTTCAGATCTCATACGAGTACAGTTCCAGTCAAGACATTCAAAATCTGCTAAACACAATGCTACTGTACCCTTCAATTCACTTAGAGAACACCCAATCCAAGGGTAGGATTGTTCATGTCTCGCAGGTCCACATAAACTCGGTTGCTGTTCTCGTATCGCTGCTCTTCTTTGGCACCTCGGTGTCAATCGGGAACGATTGCCTGAATCGCATTCGCTCTCGGCCAGTCACTTGCTTGAATATGTTGAAGACAGTAGCGTCTACACCAACGCTGATGAATCCAACGATGATGACAATGACGTTTCCTATACAGCACATAGTGCCAATAACATCTAGCAAAAAAAAAATAAAGTTATTGCTCTTCATATGTCTAACTTTTGTACTTTCTTTTTTCACATAATAATTCCAGAACTATTACCAAAAACATCGAATGCCTAACTTACCAAAAAAAAGCATCACTACAACGGAATCCATCCATCTAAAATATACTCGACTTGATCACTCCCTCAAAAGCAAGAATAATACTGATCATTGTACTAGTTATTTTACAGAGTGATTGCATTACATTGCAAAATTATCCTTAAAAATTGACAATCTTTCTTTACATTTCTGATGACAACAATAAAAAAATGGAATTTTGCTCAATGCATTCTCGGTTCTAGGGAAAACACTAATTCCAATATGTGCATTTGTTAGAATTCTCCGAATCCTTAACCTACTTTCTGTTTCTCATACACGCTCTCATTTTGTAGAAATTTTCAAGCTCTATCGATTAGTATGTGAACAAAAGTGTTTCAAACGCAGAATAAGAGAATACGATTTGTCAGAAGATGGATGAGCATTAGTTTTTATCGATTATAGACCGTTTATGGTCTCATGAAAAACTTCGTTTGTCAGTGATATTTTTAGTACGCATACGGGAACATGAGTAATTTAAAGTCCTCTTTCTAATGATATCGATGGGAGGTGATGAATCTATTTGAAGATAGCAATTATGGTCATTTTGTTATCTATTGGCGAGACCTTAATATAGCAGTTGTTTTATGAGAGTCATTTAGTGATCTATTGCGCTGAAAGAATCAATCTATTTCACTTAGAATTGTCTTTAAACGATTCAGCGCATTTTTTTTAACTAGATCTGACTACTTTGTAATTGAAATTTGGCAGTGAGCCGATTTGGCTTGTTATGTGCCCCCGTCCTTTGAGGAAAGATCTCCGTGTTTTTTTTTTGTTTGACTTGATTATGAATTAATTCAATGAGAATATTCTATGAATAGTTTAGACAAATTTCGAACTCTCCTCAAAATCTTTGAGCTTTTCAATAAGTCAAATAAAATTTTCAATTTTATTATTTCTATAACATATACAATTATATTTATCATTATTTTAAATATATTTAGCTAAATTCTAGTTCTGGCACAATTCATTCGAAGTAGAATTCGTCGATATAAATCTTTTTTTGTTTTTTATTTTAGTATCTCAATCAATACGATTAGAATTATTGTACTATATGATGGGTATGGCAAATTAGAAACGTACATTATTCAAAGCACTCAAACACATTTTTAGTCATTTAGATTTTTAAGAAAACCTTTGAAATATTGTCAATGGTAGTCAACAGCTAGTTTTTTCGTTGCTAGACAAGTATAGAAAAAGCGTCTGATAAGTGTTGTCCTTGATTGGTATTGAAATATGCCCGATAACCGTTGTCCTTTCTATTCTATCTCCTGTCGGTATGAGAAGAAGGAAGTGAAAAATCTTGCCTTATAATTTCTATTGATTATTTTCTTTCGTCAAATATGTTTTGTTAGAGAAAAGAGAGGATAAATCTGTTCTAATAGATAGATAATTCCCTTGGAATTTTGTTTTTCTAAAAAAATTCAAGCTGATAATCATCATTGTGCTATATTGTATAGTTAATATAGCTAGTCAGTCTAATCTATGTTACAGAATTGATCAAATAGAAAATAAAACTCTTGAAATCTTATTTATCTTAAAGAATTTATTAATTCTGTCGATAAAAAAAAATTCAAATGAAAATTTCTATAATAATGCAGAGATAGATCAATAGAATAAAAGTTGTTAAATTGTGTGTTATGATGAATTATGTCAATACTGAAAATGGAGAAGATAAACAATGATATAGATTTATCTATAATATATTTAATTCTCGTTTGATAAATAAAATCGATAAATAGCGTCATCTTGATAAAAGAATAAATGAATTGGTTATTTAAGTTGATCTTTATTTATTTAAATAAAGGAAAAAAAAAGTAATAAAAAGAAAAAATATTGAACTATATTTAAATAAATGTCTAAACGTCGATTAGGAAATAAAGAAAATGAAGAATGTTTATCATCATTTGGTAAACGTCTTCAATCATTAAGTGATACATTTTATTCAACAATTTTTGAAGATAGAAAAGATAAAAAAATTGAAATAAAAAATGCTAAACAATTAGAAGATTTGCAAACATCTGAATATGAAGATTTTACATTTGATCAATATTCAACTAGTCAAATAACATCAAATGATGATTTTAGTTTTACTTTTCATTCAATTAATAAAACAAAAACAGAAAAATCTCAAATATATCAAGTAAGAAAATAAATAATAATAAGAAATAAATAATTTTATTTTAATTAGACAAAAGAAATAAATCGTTCATCAACTCCATATTCAATTGTTAAAGAAAATTATATAAAAAAAGGTCAAGATGAAACAATAATTGTTGAAGAAAATAATCAAAATCAACCAATTATTATTGGTTATTATCCAGTTATTAGTTATCAACCAATTTGTTTTCCACCAACAATTTATTTATCAAACCAACAAATTCAAACAGAATTAAACAACTCTTCAACATTAAATAAACTAACATCAATTAAAAAAAATTAATTATTTTTTCTTAAATAATAAATCTTTGTTCAATCTCAATAAATCTTCAATCATTGTTTTTGTTGTTGATAGTTTATTTAATTGAAAGATTTAATAATTGAATTTTGAATGATGATTTAATCGAAAATAATTCTAACATAAATCAACTTCTATTATAGATTGATCAATTTCTATATGATTTTATCAAAGAAATTTTTCTCCTAAATTACATAATGAGTTAATACACAATGATAAGAACCATTTCTTTTAAAATGCTAGCTAACAAAAAAAAATCATTGAAATATAAAATATTTATCATTTGACATTATTTTATTCAATTTAATTTCATCATCGAAATCAGTTTTTATTATTAATATCTTCAAGAATTTTTTTGGCTTTAATATCACAATATTGAAATAAAACGTAACTGTTACAATTCTTATTTATTTTCAACTTTGAAAAGAATTAAAATAGTTAACAAAGGCATTCGATTTTAATTTGAATTAAAATAAGAATTCATAATCGACATCTTTTTACATTTATTCATAATCAATCTTAAAATGTTCATTATACAAATTCTCTTTTATAACAACTATTTATTAGTTAGATATTAACAGACTTTATATCGAGTTTTTCATTTTTTATTTTAATAAAAATTCAATCTTATTAGGATATATTCTCAACTGTCCCAACGTTTTTCGCTTTAGACTATTACCATTCGATCGATCATGATCAATACGAAGAATATCTCTTTGACCTTTTTTTTCACTCTTCGCTTAACTAGTTATGGCCGTTTTATTTTACTCAATGTTTCCTATATCACCGTAGAATTGTCTAGAAACTGGATGATCGAATTGCAAACCAAAATTTTCTCCATAAATAGGTCTTATAGTCACTAGAAATATCCCAAAGCTTGTACCTGAACGAACGTATCCTTACTAAGATAATTTCAGTTTTGAGAAATGCCTATTTTGAGCTATTCTAGGTCAATAATTCATGGTCGTACACGGTCATATATCTATTCGTTACACCAAAAAACAACAACCGTTTAGAATGACTTTTACTAGTATTCATTAAAGATGCTTAACTATGCACTAAGATCATCTCAAACAATGGCTGTGAAAACAGGGCGACTATAAACAACCTTTGAGTAAAATCATATAGCATTCTATACGCCAAATGTAAATGATTTCTAGAACAATCATCATTTTCTATCCTATGTATTCGTAAATAGCGTTAACGTCAACGACATATTCCATTTCAATAGAATACAATAGATTATTTGTTTTTAACTATATTCTTCGTATCAGTTCCCATATATATCATTCGACACTTCATCTATCAATGGTTTCAACACTTTTAGACATACGACTAGAGGTCTATGACTTTAGATACTGAGTGAATAATCTTCGTTTGTTGATTCGTTTGTTACAACACGAAAAAAAAATGTATGCTAAGGATGAATGGAGATGGAGTCATATAAAATACACAAACCATTACCACTTCACATTGCTTTTTCAGATTCAAGTTTCAGTCAACAATATGTTTTCTCTATTTAGCTCTGATCAAATTAGGTTTGAGAACACTAAAATTTGTTACAATCAGATAGTTTTAATATACGAGACTCAAATGGGCATTTGTTTGTTAAAAGTTCATGTAAGCTTTTCGTTTTTGCTTACTTATTGTTTGACTAATTTGCCATAAAAGTCCACAGATTCTGGCTACTCAAAGTATCTCAGCTATATGAAGCTAATTACTTAGGGCACATCAAAAGTAGTGGGACCGACCCTGTAGTATTTTACAGAAGGGTTTAGAAAATTTTTTCTCCATATATTCTGATAGCTCAAGTCGTGCTCTATAATTCTATGATATTTCATAAATCTTCAAGTGATATCATATAAGCAAAAGTTTTGATACTCTTAAGTTTTCTGCAGTTTTTTTGCAAATTTTCACCTTGAAAATATACAAGAACTAACTACACACACAAAAAAAAAACAAACAGAGTACGTGTGTTTCACATGTATAAACAAAGATAATTAAATATCAAAGAAGTTAACAAGATAGCGAAAAGAAAGAGAAGAGAGGAGAAAATTAAAAGGAAAAAAAGAAGAGAACAGAAATAATATGTTGAAGACAATATAGGATGGCTACGTCTTAATTGCGGGCAAAAATTAAGCCAATTAGTGAAAAATGACCGCTTTTTGGAATGACAAAAATTCGATCATCTCATTCTGTACTGTGTATCCAAAAAGCGGCCACTCTTTCACTAATTAGTCGTTGCGAAATTGAATTATGATGTGTGTGTGTGTGTGTGATTGATAAATATAAAAGGTGAGAAAGAGAATAGCATTTCATTTGATATGATGGATACAAAATTTACTTGGTCAACAACGCAAAAAGGTGAAAGAGCAATCTTGCACAATAATTTCGATGCTTATCAAAAAGTCTTACGAAGTATTTCTCATCGATATATGGATGTTTTAAAAGATGCTAAAGACAGTAGCGATGATGAGTAATGTTTTTGTTGTTTTTTTCTTATTTTGTTCTGTTTTTGTTCATATAGTAGTAGCATGAATAAATAACTCTCTCTACATATTATTATCATTTTATGTTTGTTGATTGTTTCTTAATTGAAAGAATGACTGCTTTTTGGAAATACAGTACAGAATGAGATAATCGAATTTTTGTCATTCCAAAAAGCGGTCATTTTCCACTAATTGGCTTAATTTTTGCCCGCAATTAGGAAGCTACGTATAGGATATTGTTTCCAACATATATTATAATGCGATCAAAATTATTCACTTCTTTTCAAATGGATAAAGAATATTTTTGTTTCCATATTAAAGTGTGTCCTGTACTTCATATAAAACCAATAGTTATTCATAATGAATTACGTACTGTCTTTGGTGATGAAGCTCCTCCTCTCAGAACTGTTCAAAGATGATCAAAATGGTTTCGTGAAGGTCGAGAAGAAGTTGAAGATGAAGAAAGACCTGGCAGACCTATAACGGAAACAACACATGAAAATATGAGACAAGTTCGTGATCTTATTAATGATGATCCTTATGTTACAGTTGGCGAACTGAAAGTACAAAGTGGTCTAAGGCATAGAGGACTGTCCAACGAATTATTTCTGATCATTTGCAGTTGAAAAATATTACTGCATGTTATGTTCCCAAACATCTGACGAGCTTTCAAAAGGCTTAACGAGTACAAATATGTCAAGAAAACTTGTTAAAATTTGAACAAGATGTTTGGCGATTATGTCATATAGTAATAGGTGATGAATCATGGCTTTATCACAAGCAAATCGGTCGAAAATCATCGAATGCTACTTTAGTAACAAGTGGAGATCCTCCTCCAAAGATGGTTCGATAGTCATTTTGCTCCAAGAACTCTCCTGCCTATTTTCTTCCAGTCAACTAGTTCAGTTTTGATTCATTCTGTTAAACGTGGACAAACAATGGATCATTGATATTACATCAATAATTGTTTGCGACCAATTATTGATGAAATTAAGAACCAACGGTCTTTCTTAGGTATTCAATCAATTAAACTTCATCATGATAATAGAAAATCACATATTCATGAAGATGTAGTCAATTATCTTCAATCGGAAGGCGTAACAGTAATGTCACATCCACCTAATTCTCCAGATCTGGCTCCATGCGATTTTTGGTTGTTTGATTTAATAAAGCAAAATCTAAGCGATCAAGATGATTTCGAATCGTTACATGCGGCTGTGATCAAATTTATGAAGTCGTTGAAAAAAGAAGAGTATAAAAAAACTTTTGGTAAACAGATTCAACTAATGTAGGTGTATGTAGACAACCAGGATGATTATTTTGAATATTTGATGTAATAAAAGCTTGGTAAACTTGCTTCAAAAAAAATTTTTTTTGGGAATCACTCAATGTTTTTGCTTTGTTTTCAATATTAAATATTTTTTGAAGATTTATGAAATATTATAGAATTATAGAACGCGATTTGAGCTATTCGAATATATAGAGAAAAAATTTCCTAAAGCCTCCTGTAAATTATTACAGGGTCGATGCCACTACTTTTGGTATACCCCAAGTATAATATGATCAGCTATTCAATTTTTACTTTTTTTTATTATTGATTTATTGTTAAACATTTTAATTATTTGTTAAACCTTCTACCGAATGATAATCATTAATGACAAAATTAGAGGTACATTTATAAAGAGATGATTTTCTTTTTTTGATTGTTCTATATAAAATAAATATTATTTTTCTATTGAAACGGTTTATTTTAGTTACGAATTGTTTGAAAGATAACTGATTAAATGAGTAAATAATATTAGTTTATGTTTTGTTGATGAATAAAAATTGTCAATTTATCGAATAAATTACTTTCGAAATATATTTAAAATGATTTTTGTCAAACAAGATAGATTTTTCAGATATATATATATATATTTAAAAATAAATATAGATCATCTTTAGAAAAAACTAATTGATTTCTAATAGATAAATAAATGTTTGGAGAGTTAAAGCTAAAAATAAAATAAAGATTATATATTCAGTTGTTGATAATAAAGACTAATATGAATTTGTCCACATGATTTATTTCCGTGATTATCTTCAATATAAAACCAATCATCAATATGACCTATTCAAAGAATAATTTTAAAAATAACTCTAGAAATTCTATTCTTGTAAAAACCTTTATTATATAAATCGTGTAAATCAATATGAATAAAACCAATAAGTTGATTATTGAATGTATCTTGATCATAAACATCGATATGAAGAGTATCTTGTCCTCTTAAATGATTACTAAAAAAAAATCAAATAGGTTTTTTTTTATTAATAATAAAATTAAAAAAAACCTACAAAACGAATGATTGATTCCATATTGGATTATTGGAATTTTTTATAACATTTGTTTTCTGTTTTTGCTTTTTATCATCAAAATATATTTCAATAAAAGCATCATTTTGACTAAATTTATCCTTTTTTATTAAATTTCTTCCTTCAATTATAGTTACTTCTAACTGAGCCATTTATTTATCTTAAATATAAATAGACGTCCGTGTTTTACTCATTAACTTATTCAAATAAAAGCAAAAAAATAATATTTATCTTGATTGATGAAGGAAAAAAAAGAGAAGAAAATATATTTTGTCAAGGAAAATCAAAAGAGAGAGAAAAAGAAAAAGAAACAGAAAAATAAAAAAATAATCCGATAAAATCTAATTTAATTCGAATAATTTCTTATTAGATATATATATATATATATGTTTGGTCAATAATTTAAAGAAAATAAATTCGTTATTGAATATTATTTATTTAAATGAATTGATAAAGAAAAAAAAGTGGAAAATAAAATTTATGTTGTTTTGTTGAAAAGAAAAAAAAAGAAAAACTAGTCATTGATTATTCTATATAAAAATATATTCGTTCAGATTTCTCTAACATATATCAATCATTATTTATCTTCGATTAAATAAAACTTTTTAAAAAATCTTAATCCTATCTTTATTCTCTAATGGATCATCTTTTAGTCAATTTAATATTCGAGACTTTTAAATAATATTTATTTTATTTATTATATTTAATATAAATATGAATATAATTTATCTTGATCAAATTTTTAAAAAAATATTTCTGATGATTTTCATCTAAATTAAATATTTATATTCAATATTGATAGAAAATTTTAATTAATCAATATATTGAAAATAGTTAAAACAATCAATAATGCTATAATATAATGACATCTATTGAGAATATTTCCTTCCTTGTTTTTGTCTTATTTAAATTTAAATGGATAAGATTTTATATAAAATCTCGATAGATTGTTGAAGAAAATTCTCTTCGAATTTCTATATTATTTAATTAAATATATTTATCTTTCGATCATTTATTTAATCATTTTATTAGAAAAATAAATCGAAAACAATTATTTACTCAATGGATTTTGTTTTACTATTCAAAACAAAAAATTCAAATAAAACAAAATGACAAATTATTTCGGTATTTGTTAAATAGGATACAAAACTCAATTAAATCTGGTTCAATCATCAAATCAGTTAAATTGACCGTTTTTGGTTGATTTAAACATTTATATATAAGTGAACAAACACAATAAATATGAAAACGGTTTTATTGTTATTATCGATATGATTTATCGTTTGTTAGTCGATTTATTGATATTAATCATATGATTATATTATAGAAAGAGTATTAATGAAAATAATGAAATTTTCATAATGTTGAGAGTTTGATAAATTCTAAACTAAGTAAAAGTAATGTAGTATAGTCATAACTAATCTACATAATTTTTGTTTATTCAATAAATAATAGTAGAATGAAGATGTTGAGTGATATACTAGGTATATTAGCATTGGAATTCGATTATAGAGTTAATCTTGTTCAATGTTGATGATCTTATATGATTATGATCTACTGTTCACATCGAAAAGATTGTTTATAATCTTTCTAATAAATATTTCTTTTTCTTCGATGTTGTCTATGTCTTACATCTGAGGATTAGTTTCTGTTCTAAGGTTGAAAATGATCGTTTTCAAGATCGAAAGTTCCCATTAATTGAATAAATAAAAAGAATGATATAGATTAATTATCATTACACTACATTACTTTCACTTAGTTTAGAATTCTAGAAAAAGTTTAACTCGTTAGAGAATTTAATAACATATTGAATATCTATAGACAATTTTTTAAAATAAATATTATTATTAGATAAACAATATTAGATAAGAACTGATTTAACAAAATCAAGTTAAAACATTGTGAAGAAATAAAACATAATGAGAAGAGTTTATTGGTTAATATAAGATGTTTGCAGTTTTTTTCTTATGTTTAATCGTTAATAAATATTTCGATAATAATAAATATATTTTAGAAAAGAAGAATTATTTAAATTGTCATGTATCTTTATCAATTAAATTCTGATTATTGTTTTATTTAATTTGATTTTTTTTTATAAAAATAAATCAAAATAAAAACTTTTCTTTTTTTCTTTGAATTATATTTAACGATCGAAATATTTTATATTTATTTACTCTAAAATATAATTCATTTAAGAATATTATATATAGAAAACGATTTTATTATTAAAGAATGTTAGTCTTTTCTTGTTTTATAATTAATATATTGATTTAGAAATAATAAAACTAGTGGAAAAGGATATTGTTTACAATTTCCTCTTATTATAGTTGAATATCTTCAAACTGATATATAATATATTTCTGCTCGTTTATATTGATTGATCTCGTCTAATAACTAACAACTCAATTTGATAAACAAGTTTGAAATGATTTTATTTTAATAAAATTTCGTTTATTATCAATAATAAGAGTTAATTAATGAAAAATAATAATTATAATTTATTGTTTAGATTGAGATAAAATTATAAAAATAATTTAATTAATAATAATAATAAATAATATATCAACCAACAATAAATAATTGTTTTCAATAAATTTTATAGAATGATTAATATCAATTTTTTTTTCTTTTTATTTTACTCTTTATTAAATTTGATTTATTTTAAGATGATCAAGATTTTATTTGAAGAAAATCTGTTAGAAAAAGAAAAAAAAAATGAATATCATTTATTAGATAAATAAAATAAATTTCATAAGATCTTATTCATCGAAATCTTTCACAAACAAACAGAAAAATCTATGATAATGTGCTTTTTACATTTGACAAGGTTGATTTTTTTATTCTTACTTTATCATCAGACTTTTACTTATTTGCTTATTTACTTTTTTATATAAATAAATAATAACCAGATTTGAATCGGATTTAAGAATCATATATAGATCGATCTCGTCAAACTAGAAGAGATCGAGAAAAAAAAAGCCGGTAGAACAATATAGATTTATAATAATCAACAAATAAAATAAAAAAACAAGATTGAAGATATTTATTTAAAAGAATATTGTTTTTGTTTTTATCAATAAAAAAAGAATAATAAAGGTAAATATATTCATTTATTATATATTGAGAAATAATTAAGAATTTTTTTGTAAATAATATATTAAAGTTTTAGTTTTTGATAATCAAGTATAAGATGAATTTGACCATTAGATGATATACCAAATTTAGATAAAATATTATACCAATTATCAATATGACCTAAATAGAATTTGAAAATTTTAGATTTTATAATTAATTTAAAAAAATAAAAAAACAAACAAACATTTATTATATAAATCTTCTAAATTGATTTTTAATGAACCAATTTTATCATTTATTATTAAATCTTTGTCATAAACATCAATATGAAGAATATCTTGTCCTTTTAAATGATTACTATTAATTATAATTAACTAAAAAAAAAATAAAAACAACCTTTTTAAATAAAATCTTACAAAACAAATATTTCATTCCAATATGGATTTTTTGTATTTGATATAACTTTTGTTTTTTGTTTTTGTTTTTTATCATCAAGATATATTTGAACAAATGGATCACTTTCACTAAATAAATCTTTCTTTTTTAAATTTCTTCCTTCGACAACAGTCACTTGTAATTGGGCCATTATAATATCTTTAATTAGAAAAACATCCTATCTTATAAATATATTTATTATTCGTATATAATTATTCAAAATGAATAAATAGAGACTCATCATTCTATCTCAATAGAAAGAGAAAAGCAAAAAATAAACATATAGAAGACCATGTGACTTTTTATCAAGAGGAAAAGAGCCAGACTTTGTCTCACTCAAACGAATATATTTGAATAATGAAAAAAATTTTCTCAACTATGAATAAATTCTAATAAGAGAAGAATATCAGTTAACATAATTAACTAATCGAAACATTTATCAGATTGAGATTTTTATTAATAAGATATTATTTGACGTAAATCAACATTTTATATTTACTTTTATTAGAACTATTTACTGACCAACAATTCGAATTCGGATTTTTTTTATCGAAATTTTCGAGTTAAATTTAATAAATTTGTTTGTCTCAACTTAAACTATAGAGATATAAGATTTATTTATATCGACATTGTTTATCACTTTTAACCATCAACATATATCATTGATCAACATTCAATTAATTAGATTTAATTATATTCGAAATTAGTCGTTTAACCAAGATTTAACCACCCGGTAGAGATTATAGAACGATTTATCTGTTTGACTCTTATCATAAAAAGTATTTGAATAATATTTTCTATCGTAGAGTTTACCATTCTGATAAGAGGGATCACTCTCCTCTTTCTATTATGTTTAACGTCTATTAGTTAAATAGATTTCAATTCTATTTGAAATGGTATTTTACTAAAAGATATTATAAATAGACAGACGTTGAAATTTTTCATTGATATTATTTTACGAAAAATATTTTTTATTTAAAAAATGTTTGATAACAAAAAATCATATATGATTTTAAACTATCAACTAAAAGGTGAGATGAATATAGTATGAAACGAAACCTCTTAGAGTTCGAATTAAATATGTTCTCCTTATTCAATGATCCATTGGTTATCTTTTATTAGAACAGTTTATGCGCATATATAACTAATCATCTTAATCTAATAGATATCCTATCCAATGATTCATCTTTATTTTATTAGTTTTTTGTTAATATACTAATAAAACATAAATTAATGTGTAAGAAAAGATAGAAGATAAAAAGCAAAACAAAAGTAAAGATGAATTATTGGGTTTTATATCTATTAGATTTCTATAAATAGTTATATATGCTAATAAATTGTAGAAATAAAAGATAATCAATCGATAATTAAAGAAGAATAATTCAATTTAATTCGAATTCGAACAACTTTCGATATATTGAAGAATAATTTTGACAAATTTTTTCTAATCAATATTATTTATATAATTGAGATATATTTTATACTCGAATTTATTTCACCTTTTTACTCTATACACGAACAATTTCATAGGTCTATCGATTGATAATAGAGTCTGTTGGGGTAATTCTGATCAAAAATTAAAAATTTCTTTT